AAGTACGGACCGGATCAGACGACGGCGGCTGTAGCGGTGGAAAATCATCATCGGACAGCGTAATCGGGTCAGGACGAGAAGCAGTAACGGCAGGCGGTTGACAGTCGGGAGGACGGGAAACGGCTTCAGGCGGACGAACAAACTTGCCACTGGCAGCATCATATCGGGTGAAACACTCAGACAGAGCAGGATCAGCAAACGGAGCAAGAAGACTCTGAGGCTTGAAACAATCCGGCGACGGTCCAGCGGCAGAGGCACCAGGAGGACGAACAAAAACGGCCGGAGGAAGAATCTCGGCAGCCGGAGGAACATCAGCAGCAAGTGGCATTTCATCAGCAGCTGACAGCGGAACATCACGGGCAAGAGGCGGCGGACTCGGCGGAGGAGACGGGGCAGCATCTTGCGGCGGCGTTGGTGCCAGTGGCGGAGACTCACTGTGCACATGTGCTTCAGGTTCGGCTAGCAAGCGCGACAGACCATCAGCATTCAGATGTTGGCGACCTGGACGGTGGACGACTCGGAATTCATATTCGGATAAACAGTCAAGCCAACGTGCTTTCCGTCCGCGGGGTTCCTTCAGGTTCCGGAGTGCAGTCAACGCAGTATTGTCCGTCCTGGCAACAAATGGTTGTGCCAACAAGTAGTGCCTGAAATACTCCGCAAAATAGACCAGAGCAAGGGCCTCACGATCGCTAGCATCGTAGTTGCGCTCAGCTTTCGTCCGTACACGGCTGCCGTACCCAATTGGTCGCTCAGTTCCATCCTGGATCTGGCTGAGGACTGCACCAATCGACACATTGCTCGCATCGGTGTCCAGAATGAATGCACCTGCTGAAGCTTCAAACTGGGGGTACGCCATCACCGGCGCACTGGCAAGCGAACGCTTCAGAGCCTGGAACGCCGTTTCGCAAGCTTTCGACCACGCAAAGCGAGCATTCTTGCCTGTCAGAGCAGTCAGCGGAGCAGCACGCTGGGCGAACCCACGGATGAAGCGGCGATAATATCCAGCGAAGCCAAGGAACTCGCGGACAGCTGTGACAGATTTCGGAGTCTTCCAGTTCCTGACCGCGACGAGTTTGGCTTCATCCGGGGAGATGCCCTCCGCTGACACGCGGTGTCCTAAGAAAGTGACCTCCTCCTGGAAGAAGGAGCATTTCTTCAGATTGAACCGCAGTCCAGCGGACCGAACTCGCGCGAACACGGGCAGCAGAATCTGGAGTTGGCCAGACAGCGTTTCGCTGGCATTCAGGACATCATCAAAGAACACACGGCAGAATGGCTGAGCCGGTGTGTTACATAAGCCACTCAGGACTGCTTCCATTACGCGCTGAAATGTCGCTGGGCCATTCCTGCAGCCCATCGGCAAAACATTATACTCAAACAAGCCCAGTGGCGTGGTAAATGCCGTCTTAGCCTTGTCGCTTCCTTCCATTGCTATTTGCCAGTACCCTGACGCTAAGTCAAGGGACGTGAAATACCGACAGCCAGACAGGGAATCAAGCATGTCATCCGCCCGGGGAATCGGGTAAGCATCAGGCTCGGTCACAGAGTTCAACTTCCTGTAGTCGATACAGAGTCGAAGAGAGCCATCCTTCTTTGGCACCAATACTATGGGTGATGCCCACGGACTAATCGATTCTTGTATTATGCCTTGCTTTAACAGCGGATTCAGTAGATCTTGCAGAGCCTTCCGGCGGTGATATGGAATCCGCCTGGTAGGTTGTTTTATAGGGTTATTTTGTCCTGTGTTAATTTTATAAGGGAATATGTCACAGTAGCCATAGTCATCATCATGCAAGATAAATAAATCGTGGTTATCATGAAGTAGTTCAGTGAGCGTGCGAGACTGTTCTGTGGAGAGATGATTTTGTGCGTTGATATATTCATCGATGACTTTCTTGCGTTGCTCAGTTAGCGGGATCGGGTCGGGTGAAACTGAGGAAACCATAGCTTCAGTGTCGTCAATATGTTCACAATCTGTAGGAATTTGATGAAGTTCGGCAACATTGGTATTTTTATGAATGAGTATAGGATGATTTGCATGATTTTCAACAGCCACAACCACACGTGTTTGGTTAGGGCCAACAGTCACAAGACTAGGAGTCACTGCCACATCTGGATGCTTCGCCATAAAGGACTCCAATGGATCTGCCACGCAATCCATCGCAACCATGCACACATCAACAGCTGCACAAGGCACCAAGACAACATGTCCTGCAGGTACCGACAACTCCATCTCAAACACCACACGAGATGAGTATACCACAGGGTCGGCCACACTTTCGGGCGCACACGCCGGGACAACGCCAGGTTGAGCCATGGGTTCAACAACCCGTGCAGACAATGAATCGTCAAGGGCAACACGAGAAGAATACGACGAAACAGGTACATCATCGGAGCATGCATCAGAATGAGGAGTATGAGTATTACATGAGGGGGAAGTATTACGCGGAACAATACGATCATAGGGCGTACGTGACGGAGGACACCCAGAACCAGAAACATGCAACGGAACAGACACATCGCCAAACATCACAACACCACGAGCAATGTCTAATACACCACCATGCTGCAACAAAAAATCGGAACCAAGAATCATGTCGCAGTGAATACCAGGAGAGACAACAACCGTGTGCTGGAAAGACAGATTTCCTAGCGACATACACAGATCCATGGATCCAACGACAGGAAGTTGTGCGCCATTGACTGCACACAACCGCGGAGCAGACTCTAGAGGAGGTCGCTCTGTCAAATTAGGCAACAATTTAGAATGCACTAACGACACACTTGAACCAGAATAAACAAGAGCCACAACAGGAGACGAAGACGAAGACGAAAGACAAACATCAACGTGCACAATAATGGGTGAGATCGCACCACATACCTCCTCGAGGGGCTCCACTCGGACGACTGACGGCGGCCCCGTGTCACCAGTCCAACCTAGTTTTTTGCGTGCGGGCAAGATGCAATGAAGTGGCCCTCTTCACCACATCCATGGCACACTCCACGGACAGGCCTCGCAAAACTCTGGCCACGACCACGACTGGGCGCACCAGCACCAGCACCACGAGCAACAAAACGTACATGGTCTTGCTGGGGTCGGGTGGGGCGATACAGACTCACGCTCTCCATTTTCGCCTCCAAAGCAGAGAGACGCGAATCAAAACTCGACAAAAGCGAAGCCAACTGGTCTCGCTCAGATTCCGATTTCAGTGGACCGACTGCTGCGTATACGTAGGGGTCACGACCATGAGCAGTGCGACGGGGCTTCACTTCCGGAGCAGCAGCAAATACGGGCTGTGCATACTGGTAAGGTACGGTGCGGGCCTGCTCGCGAGCATAAATAGCACCTACCTCGATGGCCTTTTGGACCGCCGCATCCAAATCAGTGGGCCGAGGTGACGCCAATGCCAAGCGCAAATCCTTCGATGCCTGGCCATCAATAAAAAGTTGCAAAAGCATGGAATCAAGCAGTGCACCTTGTTGTCCTGGGTAGGCTCGACGAGCGAGCAGACGAAGTTCCGTGGCATACCCGTGCTGAGTTTCACTCGCCAGCTTCACTCGCTGGCGAAGACTGGCCTCGTGCATCAATGCTTGCTGGGGCGGCTCAAGACGGACATGCAGAGCCTCGACTGCGTCGGAAAAGTTTATGTCAGGCGTGTGAGTTAGAATTTCGGTGAACATCTCATGAGCTGTACCAACAAGGCGAGCAGGTAGTAGCCGTAGCTTTTGTTCGTCGTCGTACCCACTCAGCTCGCATGTGTGGACGAAATGCCTCATGTACGTGGTGAAATCTTGGCCTGGCTGATTTCCGAATGTCTCAGGAAGCAAAACTGGCTTCGGCAGTGGACGTGCATGTGGTGTGTCTGTGTCCGGCAAACGAAAACGATGGGACAACCCTTGTACCGGCGAACTCTCGCGCTCTTCAGCAATGTTTATGTCACAGCCAGCTTCAACGAAGCTACGCTCTAGCTTTTCTTGTCTCTTGGATTTCGCTGAACGGCCCATTGTGCAAAAAAATTTGTTTTTGAATTTTTGAATTTTCGAAAAAAAATTATCTGCAAAAATTTCCCGTGGACTCGATCAACTATCGATCTAATTCTAAATCTATTACGTAACCTATCGTGCGTAGCGGCAAACAACTAAATTTGGCAGAGACAATTCCAAATAGGCAACTACTCTACGGACACAGTGTAGCTAGACTCTACTACCCAGCTAGCAGATATCCTAACAAGACACTAGACATGCAGCCAGTATATAGTATGCACAAAACACGGACACAGAAAATGTTCCGAAAATGTTTGGCCAGACAGGTTGGCGCCAATGCTTGACCTATGGACTGTAAACCATGGTAAACAATGCATGCAACGAGAAAACGACGAGCAGAAAGAAACACAATGCAGAAAGGAAAATATTGACGAAGAGAGTGGATGAGGATATGGTTTCACTTGCGTGGGCCTTCGTGGTTCTTCATAGTCGGCGATCTCCGAAGGCGTACATATGGTCAAAAGGCCAATCTTTCGATACTTTGAAAGAAAACATGGATGGAGCAGGAGCTCCAAGCTTAATAGTGGTTACCAACCGCCTTCAAACTAGGAAGGTTCAATGTTCTGCATAGACGAAAGATGGGAAGGATAGCAAAACCAAAGTGAGTACGTGTGAAGTCCCATGGTAGCAAAGAATGTCGAATGTTGCTGGGCAATCACAAAAACAGTAAAAGACTTTACAAAGTGGTCAAACTACAATTCGAAGGAGAAAAGCAGTACACCACCCCTCTTAGGTGCCCCAGAAATATCGAAGTCACATACGGAATAGGAATTTTGCCGAAAACGACTTGTACGCAACCTAACGCCAGTATCCTACAGTAATCCTCGTGAAATACAATGATTGTGATGGAATAGTTGACTATAAATCAAGTAAATACAGGCGTGAGTTAGATAATGAAATACTGGCCGATGGTTTAGTGTCTATCTGATCATTTTTTAAATATTTTCCAACAGACGACGCAACACTTCAAGTCAATGAAGCAACATTCTATTGAGCAGATTGCATTAATCAATGCTACTCTGCAGGAGGAAAGACAGAAGGTTAGTTAAATTTTTGTCAGTACTCGCAATAAGACTATTGAAAGTACTGTCCCTGATATGACTTACAAGGCATCGGTGTCTAATCGATTCAAGTGATTAGCCTCACAGGGAGAGATTAGAGTCCAAGAAGTCCGAAAATGGAAGAGCCCGAATTGGACTGTACTGACAGGGAGAGTTTTGTTCAAAGGCTGTTGCAGGTCCGCAGCAGGTTTTTTAATGTGAGATGTAGAGTAGACATGATACCCGCATGTGATCAGATGATCTGTTGATATGTATAATTATGGTGTCAGCAAACAACTTAAAAACATTTTCTTACAAATTCATTTTGAAGGCATGCCCTGTTTTCCCTAGTCAACTGGTGCAGAGCATGCCCTTTGCAAGTGAATGTTGAAACGAGGGCTCTCCTTGGTGCTGCTTTGCGAGTTTTTTTCACAGTCGTAAGAAAGCCTATATTCGGTAAAACCACAATTTTTTCCACAGCTTTATTTGTAATTGTACAATGTCTAGTTGTTTTTACTGCTACGTGTAGTAGTTCCAACTTAGTTCCAGGATTGGTTCAAGTGAACGACAACCCAAACATGCCATGAATCAGGTTAGAGAAGAGTGAAACACAACTACAGAACCAATGAGAACGCGCAACAGGAAACGAACTGGCTGTGGCAAGATGTCAACAAACTGTACCTATTTATAGAATAGTTCGCTTTCTATTCTTTTTAAAATAAACTAATAAAAAACGATTTTCATGAGACTCCATTTTGGATCAATCTTTTTGCAGGCTCATCGTGCGTTTTCGTTCTTTCTGTCTTTGGGCAACTTTGGCAAGATGGCAGATTCAGCTTCCTCTTCTCGTTTCGTTCCAGTTTCTGACGAAGAGAAGGCTCGTCTTCTAGACGAAGCAGTACCTCAGAAAACAAAGCAGGCAACGAGGTTTTGGATGTCTGTGTTCAAAGACTTTTGTTCGGACAATGAAGATGCCCGAAAACTTCTACAGGAAAAGGACGCTGACTGGATGAGCATCGAAGAGGAAACATTAGCCTCTTTATTGGAGTCCTTTTACTGCTGTGCCAGGAAAAAGGATAAAACTGAGTACAAGCGTGCTTCGATGATTGCAGCCAGAGGTGCTATCCAGCGCCAACTCAATATCTTCAACAGAGGAATTGACTTGAAAAGTCTAAAGTTCGACCGCGCCAACAAACTGCTCGATGCTGTTCTCAAGGACAAAAAGAAGAATGGTCGAGAGGCCCCGGTCACGCACAAGGAGACGATTTGCGATGCAGACTGGGAGAAACTGTCCGGGTATTTCGCAGACGTGAGCACTACTCTTGACGTAAAGAAGCTCACTCAGTACGTGTGGTTCAACTGCACGATCCATTTCTGTCTTCGTGGAAACGAGGCACAATCCCAGCTCAAGCCATCCGACCTCGTATTCACGACAATCGCTGGTGAGGAAGCCATTGTTCTGCACGCTGATTATATGTCAAAGAACCATCAGGGTGGTCTGACAGGGAGCCATACTGAGACCAGCGGAGCAATCACAAGATCTGATATGATCGCTGTTTTCCGAAGGTACCTGTCAAAGCTCCATCCAGAAATGGATCGTCTATTCCAGCGGGCAAAGTACGGAAGTGGGGTGCTCGCCATGGACTGTGATGTTTGGTTTATGAAGTCGGCACTTGGACACAACACATTGGGTAAGTAGCTGTATTTTCTCCCATTTTGAACGGCGTTTTGTATAACTCTTGTTCCAAGCTTCTGTGATTGGTGTCAGTGTTCCCTCTCAGGTGTTCTATACTTGTACCTAATTTTTATTGAGATTCTGGAGGTTGTGATGAATGACTCATTTCACTCATTAAGATATCTGTTTCTGTATATTTTGTGATACTGCTATGCAGGAAAGATGATGAAGGAGATTTCTTCAGCCGCTGGCCTTGGCCAGACGTACACTAACCACTGCGTCCGTGTTACTTCTATATCCCACATGAAGGCCTCCGGAGCTGAGGATCGCAAGATCTGCACCGTAAGTGGTCATCGCAATGTGCAGTCACTTCAGGCATATGACCGACCGACGGCATCGGATGTCGTGGCTTTGTCAAAAGCAATTGACAAGGAAAATGTTAGTCCGCAGACATCACCAGCACCTGTACCTGCTTCACCCGTGTCTGCACCGCCTGCTGCTGTCGCTGCTGCTGCTGCATCATCTAGTCCTTCACCACTGGGCTCTCTGTTCTCTGCTCAAGGCTCAACTTGGTCGAATGTTACTATCAACGTAACTCCACAGCTGCCTGAGAAACGTAAGAATCGCCCGAGTTTGAAATTGAAGAAGAAGCCAAAGAAGGAGCATGATGATGATGATAAGTGAATTTTTGTATCTCTTGTTCTTGTTGTGATCTCTCGTTCTATTACTCTACGCTCTACTCTATTTTTCTGCATATTCTCCTATTCAATCCCTAAAAAGTGGTTTTTTATAGCTACAGGTTTTTTATAGCTACAGGTTTTTTACACAGGTTTTTTATCACTGGCAGGTTATTACAGCCATGTTTTATAGCTACAGGTTTTTTATTGAGGTCTATACACGATATAAACAACTTGCATTCATCACAAAAATATGCAGAGGTTTTTATTAGTATATTTTAAATGTACATATATGTGACAATATCAAAGAGGATAACAATAAGATTGTGACAGTTTGGCAGTTGTTGTGTCAACTGTTCCACTGGACGTCTCCACTGCCTACACACAGTCTGCCTGGCTTGTGCTTAACAGTTTCATGATGGGCTAAGGCCGGGAGAGATTGGTAGTCTGGTCCATTGATGCTCTCTTAGGTATAACTGCTTATTACTTCAGAAGTATTGTTTTAGTTGTCTCCCAGCACTACCTCATCTCCGTCTCTATTCCTGAGTTGAAGTAAACAAAAAGAGTATATTATCGTGTCCATTCACTAATGGAACTCACGACGGCCCAGTAAACCCTATTCCTGGGTTTGACAGCAGTGAAAATGGCTACTCAACATTGTTCTGGCTAATTAACAATCACTACCGCGTGCCACAAATTGGGCATATTACACTCATATCATGTGCATGTTTGTAATCTATTTCTATGTCATTTTCAGTGCGGTATTGTATCCTGGAAGACATTTACAATGGAGACATCTCATAGTAGTGCTAGAGTAAACCCGTTCAGTGGAGTCGTGTTCAACAAGACTAGACCTGACACTGTTATCAGAGTGGTGTACACAACCTCTATTGGATTTTTTCATGGGGACAATAACTGGCATTGTGTGAAGGTGTCAGTGCGTATCAACGGCAGTGACTGTTCAGACCCAGCCCCTATCAGAAGTGGAAGCACTGGTTCAACAGCCCACTATCAAATACATGCTGGTGTTGTGAGTGGTATTTGCAATCTCAACACTTCAGGTCCGCTGTCCTTCTCTACACGCATAGAGGCACAATGCACTACAGGTGATTATCGCCTGGGTTTCTACGCTGGTACAGGTACCATCACATCCACTCTGCATATCGAAGAACTTTGCAATAATCAACAGAACTAGGTGTTTGCCTCCCAATCCCTCTGCCCCCCCCCCCCTCTCTACTCTCTCTCTCCCCTCTTTCCATCTATGTAACAATCTAGTAGTTTGTATGGTTGTCTGGTAGTCTCCCTGAGGCAGGAAACACGGCGTTAGAACATACAACCTGTTTCCCGTTTTTCTACATAGTATCCTGTCTATCCATCTTTCTATCTATCCACTCTATCCACTCTATCCCTAATATCTATCAGTTCTATTTGTACCTATATACCTATCTGTTCTGTCTAAATTGAATCTTTACTTATTTTATAAATGTATCATCTTTCCCTTACCAACATTGAACAGCACGAGTACATTTATGTTTCTTGTATCTTGTAAGTATCAATGTATCTATGTTGCTCTACATCTCCAACTACCACAATTCGTTTTCAACTGCAACTCTGTTACTATTATGCTATGCGCTCCTTGTTATTGACATTATTGACTTGCCTTTTTTGGGACACGCGGTTGTTACAACAGCGGCCTTAGTAAGGAACTCGCAATTTACCACATTTTTCGTCTACTCCTTTCGATTTCGGTTATAATTCATAAAGGTTTGCTCTGTAATCACTGCAGAAACGTTTTCAATGCTTCACTACCCCGCTTCAATTTTAAAATGTCTTCCATCTTTGTGCTCATGACGGCATCATCAGCAGTTCTGGATTTCGTTGTCCTATTCTTCATGTAATTTGCGGTTTCAGGAATACAGTTCACAAAGTAAGATATTAGCGCTTGCACCCGAATGCATCAGAGCAGTGTATAGGAAATGGGAGAGCCAAGTGACTACATGCAATGGAAAGTCACAGAGCAAAGCTGCATGCATACCCACGTATTCTCACAACACCGCACAAGGATGATTGGGGTACACCAGTGTGCTGGTTTCGATCAACTGGTGAAGCGATTGGCGTTGCAAACAGCCAAAGTGATCGCTCACGACTGAGCTGCAGCAGTACCCGCGACCGGGTGCAAAGTTCCCTGATCGACGTTGCAAACAGCCAACCAGGGTGAAGCAGTTGGCGTTGCAAACGGCCAAAGCAATCGCTCATGCTTGAGCGGCAATAGTACCCGCGACCGGGTGCAATGACTACTGATTGGCGTCGCAAACAGCCGACCAATAGTATGCAATTTTAAGCAGAGATAGTAGCAGCAAAGCAACCAGTTGAAGGAAGCTGTTCCCACCTATATAATGTGGGAATGGGAGGGTGGGTGGCAAACAAATTCCGGTTGCTGCTCAGTGACACTGCAAAGGAAAGCGCAAGCCAAAGTCAGCGCAGCAAGAGCTACCCAAGGCGATTTGGGCGCGCATGCGCAGCAGTTGAGTGCACGTGTAAAGCCAGCTCGATCGCAGCTAGCATGAGATAGAGAGCAGCGCATCGGTCTTATCGCTAACTAGGGTTAGCCCAAAAGCTAACCCAACATTTAGCGCTTGCACCCGAATGCATCAGAGCAGTGTATAGGAAATGGGAGAGCCAAGTGACTACATGCAATGGAAAGTCACAGAGCAAAGCTGCATGCATACCCACGTATTCTCACAACACCGCACAAGGATGATTGGGGTACACCAGTGTGCTGGTTTCGATCAACTGGTGAAGCGATTGGCGTTGCAAACAGCCAAAGTGATCGCTCACGACTGAGCTGCAGCAGTACCCGCGACCGGGTGCAAAGTTCCCTGATCGACGTTGCAAACAGCCAACCAGGGTGAAGCAGTTGGCGTTGCAAACGGCCAAAGCAATCGCTCATGCTTGAGCGGCAATAGTACCCGCGACCGGGTGCAATGACTACTGATTGGCGTCGCAAACAGCCGACCAATAGTATGCAATTTTAAGCAGAGATAGTAGCAGCAAAGCAACCAGTTGAAGGAAGCTGTTCCCAGAAAACCAGCACACGGCACCCCAGCAAGCGTTCACCACCAATGCACGAGAGCTAAGAACAAGTGATTAAGGCACGAGATGGATAAAGGTAGGCATGCAGATGGATGAAATCCAACGCAGGTTCTCAATACGGCAATTTAGCAATGACAATCGGTACCTGTATGTCAAGGCTATATTACATCGACTGGAATGGCAGCACTGCTCGGTCTGGTTGTGCTTGAGCAGCTGGGGCGAGACGTCGGAATTCCTCCATGCGGAAACGAGACAGCGAATCGGCAACGCAGTTTGACTGGCCAGCAATGTGAGCAGCAGTGACGGTGAAATTGAAGCGGGCGCACACAAAGAACAGCTCCCTGATCAGGGTCATCACTGGCGGGGACTTGGATGTGCCGGAGCGGATGCAATCTACCACAGCCTTGTTGTCGCAGTGCATTGTGATACGAAGCTGGCGCCATTCCTTGGCCCACGTGCAGCACGCTGTGACCAACGCGTAGAGCTCCTTCCACTCAATGCTGTGAGTGAGTTGCTCAGGCGACCAGGTCCCTTGAAGCCAGCGGCCGCTGTTGAATGCGCCCCAGCCCAGGGTGCCACTGGCATCAGTGAACAGCTCCAAGTCTGGAGATGGTGTCCAATCTGGGAACAGGAAGAATGATTTTCCGTTCCATTGTTCCAGGAGCCGTAGCCACCATTGGATATCTTCCTGGCATTCGGTAGTCAGACTGATGCGGTAGTGAGGCTGCTGGTAGCGACTGCAAATAGACCACAGGCGCCGCATAAATGTCCGGCCGGGTACGATGACTCTTGCAGCGAAGGAGAGTTTCCCCAGAAGAGATTCGAGTTCGCGCTGAGCCATGGTGGGGTTGATGCTCGCTGCAGTCAACAGGCGCTTGATGTCGGCCAATTTGTCGTCAGGGAGCCGGGCTTCCATCTTCTCACAATCCAGGATAATGCCCAGGAATGTCAGGGTACGAGACGGGCCTTCCACCTTTGCAGGCGCGAGCGGGACTCCGAGGTATGAGAATGCACGGAGAAGAATGGCCAGCTGCCGATTCGCCACTGCCTGGCCCACGCTCACGCACAAGTAGTCGTCCAGGAAATGCAGCAAATTAGGGATGGAGAATTCGTGGTGCATTATCCATTCGATGGTGGCTGCCACTGCATCAAATACCGCCGGGCTAGAGCGGAGCCCAAATGGCAAGACACGGTCGTAGTAGTACTTCCCCTGCCACAGGATGCCGAGGAGATGCCAATCCTGTGGGCGGACAGGTGTTTGACGAAAAGCACTCTTCACATCGAGTTTAGAGAGATAGACAGGAGACGGGGAGGACATAATGATGTTAATGGCTTCATCAATGCTGATGTACTGCAAAGAGAAAGGCTCGGCAGGGATCCCGTCGTTAACGCTGGAGCCGGCAGGGCTGGACAGGTGGTGTATCAAGCGTAGCTTGCCATTCTTTTTCGGAACAGCGCCAATGCCAGAGCAGTACATAAATGGGAATGGGGGCGAGTCAAATGGGCCAGCCGTGTAGCCGGCGTTGCAGGAAGCGGTGAGCTGTGCAGACACAAATGCAGAGTGCTGGAATGCTGATGAGAGGTTGGACGAGTGCTGGTTAGTTATGCGGTTGCCGGTAAAGCCAATGTCAAAGCCGCAGCGGAGGCCGTTAATAACATACGAAGCTAATGAACTGTCAGGGTGGTTACGGAGCAGTGATTCGAAGCGAGAAACAGAGAGGGGTGTGTGGACAGCAGGACATGCGCTTGTGAAATCAGTAGAACGTGAAGTGCTGGGAGAAATATGTACAATCGCGGGAGCTGCAGCCAAAGCAGCAGAGTTACTGGCGCCTACCGCACTTAGATCCGTTGTGGTCCTTGGACCCGCAGCGGTTGCAGACATGGGCGTACTTGCACGTGCTGAGACTGCACCGCCCAGCGTTGAAGTTCCGGCAGATCGGTTGGCCATTAGACACCGTACGGACTCCATTGAAGGCTTGCTGGTTGTTACGTTGCGGACGAAAGGGACACTGGCCGCCTCCGGGATGGATGAGGCGGCAGGACTCACATGTGGGCCTTGATCGGCTAGTCACGGACATTTGCCACAGATTTATGTCGATGACGTCAAAGCGCTTGCCTGGCTGAGCAGAAATGGCAGAGCGAAACTGGGTGTCGTACGACAGCCAAGCCTCCGGATAGTATTGCCTGTTGGCTGCAACTATGGTGGCTTGGTAGGAGAGCATCTCCTGCAGGCGGGACGGGTTGGCAGAACACACGACGTTCATGAAGAGAGTCCATGCCTCCAGCCATGTCGGCAAGTCGTGGACGCGTCGACGAACGGGCTGCGCCGCTCCACCTTCCACCACCTCCAGAGACTGGCCGCCACTGCTGAACTGCAGCTGAAGCTGGCGTGGGGCAGAATACGAGGTGGCGATAGTATCGGGCAGCAGCTGGGTGAAATCTACAAAGTCACCCTTCAATATTTTCTCTCGTATAGTCTGGGGAACGGAGAGATTACCAGCGTTGGAAGACTCCGCCGAAGGTTGAGTTCCAGCGGATCCAGGGGCAGTGATGGTGGCCAGCATTGGAGCGATCGCCTCCGACAAGGCAACGGTGACGGCGGAATGTACTTCCTGCCGCACAAACTGGCGCAAATCGTCATTACTGCTCCGGTCCGGGATCTGGGGAGTCGGAGAACCTGCTGCAGCACTCTCCAGATCCTGCTCTTGCTCCTGCTCGTGCTCCTGCCGCGAGGATGGCGTGGCCGACGGAGATCGAGGTTCCCGTGCCGCCGAGCTCGACGTGTCCTGGATACTGAGCAGCAAACGGGCAAGAAGCTGGGGCTTTGTTCCGCTCGAATTCAGCCCACGGCCTTCCAGCTCGGCCCGCAAGTCCGACACGTTCATACGGCGTGCTTCAGAGGTAGACAACATGTTTGTCGTGCAGTAAACGGCTGCGAGGAATCTACAAGGAGTCTGAATAATTAATTCTATTCTCAACAAACAAATTCCGGTTGCTGCTCAGTGACACTGCAAAGGAAAGCGCAAGCCAAAGTCAGCGCAGCAAGAGCTACCCAAGGCAATTTGGGCGCGCATGCGCAGCAGTTGAGTGCACGTGTAAAGCCAGCTCGATCGCAGCTAGCATGAGATAGAGAGCAGCGCATCGGTCTTATCGCTAACTAGGGTTAGCCCAAAAGCTAACCCAACATTAAAAAAGAGAAGAAACACATGAGAACGAGTTATGCAGCGACTATCCACGACTGTCACAAATGATAAACGGTCAAAATGTGCGATAATATGGCACAAAACTGAGAGGCTACTGAGACATTCAGCGACCCGAGACCTAGCTTCAACACATTTCCAGGGCGCAAAACAACAGTCTTCCAACTTGGAAGGCTCATGGTTACGTAGGACCGAAGAGGGGAAGGTGAGCGCAGCGAAGAATGTGCACAAGCTAAGTCCCGCGACAACAAAGAATGCCGACTGTTACAGGACGATGACGAGTTTAGTTATTAACATAAAAATGTGGTCTGACTACAATTCGAAGCAGCAAAGCAACACACCACCCAACTTGGGTGGGTCAGCAATATCAGAGATAAAGGAAGGGAAAAGCTTTGCGAAAACGAGTTGTACACAACCGGACGCCAATATCTAGCAGTACTCCTCATGCATGACACTATTGTCGACGAGTTGACTACAATAACAAGTAGTTCCACACGACGTACGTTTCGCCGCGTTGTTAGTGACGGCTCATCATGTGTGTAAAATTTAAACTCGGATACAAAGCTTCCCCCTTACTTTATCTGCTACTGACCAGGCAGGCACAGTGGGTTGGTCAAAGACCATGATTGAGATACGAG